TTACTACTGACTGAAAATATTTTTTTTTCTAAAAATGATAAAATAAACACTTTTGATAGTGTTCGTTCATATTTCATTCAAACCTCTTAAGTATCTTTTCTTCAAATTATTTAGACTGAAAGATATTTCTTGGAATAGATCCCAATTATGAAGAAAATTCTTGAATTTGGATAAGTTTAAAAAATTAGGTTTCACCAAAAGGCACTGAACAAATAACTTTTATCATACTATCCTATCCCTTTCTCCTGCTTAATACACAAGTGAGTTCCAGCACAACTATCTGTGAAAGTGTTTCATATGGTTATAAATCTCAGTTCACCTGGTCCAAGGTCTGAATCATAGAACATCCAGGGTACTTTCCATAAGACTATGAAGATGAGTATCAGATTAGATGCCTTTTTTGTTTGGTGCATGAAAAACAAGGACATTACAGAGAAAGGAAAGAAAAAAAACCCACCTATATATAGTTCACTATAACATCAGTGCCTGAAACATTTTGTACAGTTTTCAGTACATTATGACATCATGGAAGTCATTCAAAGAACAGTGGAACTGATCAAACCTGGTTTCTTAAAATTTGGAGCTCATAATTAGATTCCTTGGTGTTTATGAAGAAAAAAACTCCATCTGAAGCTTTCTCTGTGCTAGGGCAGTAATACTCCTCTAACACACAGCTTTGTTGATGTCTAATGTGAGTGAAATGTATAAGCTGCGTTTGTTCAGACACCAAAGAGTGTTATCTGCTATCTTCTTTACCTGTGCATCTGTTCTAATGAAATGGCTAGGAGCATGTATGATACTATTAACCTTCTGTTAAATTGTTGGAATTTTCCACTTAGTTCAAAAAATACTATGCAGTAACAGAGACACATGCACCACATCTGGCCACATCAGATAATTTGCTTAGGAAGCAAAGTTAAAAAGTAGTAAAGATTCTTCCAGAAACTTTCTGAACAGGGTGATGAAGGCCTAATGTAGATGGAAAGTTCTTGTTAAATTATTCATCAAGGACAAATATTCATATGTATAGTACACATAGAATATTATATGTACACATGTATACATATGCAAAATATGTATTAAATATAGTTCCAGCATTTTAGCTGATGTGAGGTTTTAATCAGCAGTTATGGTTAACTGCACTGAATAATTGAAAGCAACTGATTGGTTAAAACAATGGAAGATAATGGTTAAAAATGGAAATAACGTGATTCTTTCTATCATAACAATGTAAAATTCACAGAATTATTTACTGGATGAACTAGTGGGAAAAGTAAAAGAATAAACATCCTCCATGGCTGATATTTACAGGTGGAATTCAGAAGAATTCCATATTTTGTGTCGGTGTGGAAGAAGAGGGCTCCGTGTTCCAGGACTGCCAGCCCCAAGGTTTAAGATGCCAGTCAACCCCATAGCAATTCACTTTGTGTTCCCCACTGTTATTTTATCATTTTCAATCTATATTACATCTCATCATGCCCACTGTTTTCCACAAGTCTGAAGATTTTTATCACCAACAACTGTCCTTTCCAGAAAAAATGCAGAAAAAAAAAGTTTCTACTTTTTCCAAAACAATCCTGTACTGGTTTGTGAATTTAAAGGTTCTAACACAACGTCTGAAGCTTAACAAAAAGTTTTTACAAGAAAACTGTCATTCTCTTCCAGCTCTGGTTTATGTTTTATTAGCCATCTAGTTGTATTTTTGACATGCATGTACTATGTCTACTTCATTTTCGCCTGATCTAGAGTCAGCCTGTCAAATTTCTGGTCCAGTTCTCCCACTTAATACGACCTGCTACTTACTGAAGACCTTTTGTGGTCCTGTTCTTGTTTTATGTTCTTCTTAAAATCTCACTTGAAATCTGCCCATGTCCGTGCCTGTTTGTAATTGTCACTACGACAAATATTTACGCATTTTGCGTTTGCACAGTAAGGGCTTCTTGCTCCTGCAAGCCTGGATTATCAAGGCAGCAGTGCTGTGAAGATCCATAATATGCCCTCAGCAATTTTCACAGAAAAACCCAGGGTTTGTTGTGTGATGCAGAGGCAGTACAGCAGCACCAGCGTGACAGCGCTTCTGAGGTATCACAGCAGGATTTGGAACATAAATTGACACTATTATAAGGATTTTAGCACTTTCATAAATTTTAATCACCTAAATTAAGTATTAGAAGATTCATAGGTAATTTTGTGTGCACACACTCAAAGTAATATTCTATGTGAAACAAACAATGTTTGCTGTTTATAATAATAACAAGTATTGTGAACATTCAGTATTCAGTAACATGAAGCGAACTCCCAGGTGCTCCTTTGTTTTTTACAGCAGCGTATACTACCACACTATTTTTCTTCTTGGAAGCACAGAGTAAGATAATGCCAATAGGAATTAAACAGGGCAGATACTATCCTTTCTTCCTGGTGCTGCTCTTTCTTACAGCATGTCAGACTTCTCAGCCAAATATCAATCTTGCAAACATGTTATTCCAAATGCTGTAAAACTAGAAAGATTGCATCTCCTATCACATGTCATAAATCAACACCCTGTGGTCAATGAAATTGAGTCAATGTAAAATCTATGCTGGTTTAGGTCCCAAATGTGACTTGGAAATTCCACATAGAATGTAAAAAAATTTATTGCAGATTAGCAGAGTTTAAGTGAGAGTAATTATGTCTAAAACCATGTACTTATATGCTTGCCATGGTCACCCTGGAGTTCAATAATATACTGCATTTTCTTCAATTACTGTTTTTCCTGAATGAATAAAATATAAGAGTTAATATAAGGTATAAGAGTTAATAACATGTCTGTCATTAGGTACATGTTTTGTACTCCACATATAGGCTGTATGCAAGAATTTACACAGGGATACAGTGTTATAATAAAATTTAGACAGCCAAGCTTTTACTTTTATATAAACTTCTGTTCTTCAGGCTCATGTCTGTGTAGTCTGGAACACGGCTGTGCCAAAGTCTGGAAATGACACTTCTTACCTAAGAACAAGAAACCATCACTGTCTGAAGCTTCCTTCCTGACAAAGCTCAAAGCTTTTAATTTCTCTTTTCATTATTTGATTGGGG